CCATGCTTCCATGTATCAACAGCTCCTAGCTTGGTAATGTCAGTCTCACTCTCATCTAGCACTGGGGTAGTCTCAGTTAGATACTTGCTTAGATTCAGAGTTGTAAGGTAGAACATCATTTTCTGTTGCCACCTTTTAAACTCCGCCCCATTGAATTTTTCGGGCTTCTCCCCATGACTGACGGGAACATTAGGCATAGTAATACTCATACTTGCCATTTGTCTGATATATATTAAATATACAGACCACAGTCAAAATTACAGAAATAAAACAATAACAATATTTAAATAATTAAACTATAGTATAAACCGAATATGTCTTAAGATTGTTGTTCAAACCACGGTCTAAGTATACTATGTACTATAGTACTATTTATTTAAATATTATGTAAAATATAATGTTTATATATATATATATATATATATATATAATGAATGATTATAAAATAATATATATATATATATATATATATATATATATATATATATAATTACTTATAATATATAGTTTAATATAATCAAATAAAACTATAAAATAAGGGAATCTGATTAAAAGTCGAGGTTAGAATTTTATTCTATGTCCTTAAGACAGATTCGCCCCGCTATGGTGCTAACGGACTCGTGGCGTCTATCTCCCAGGATACAACGACTTATTTTCTTTCGGTAGTAGCACTGCAAATCAAAGGAATAGGTGAACCGGCTCGATGTAGTACTCTTTGACTCAAACTTGGACTCGGAGTGACTGACTAAGGCTCGAACCAAAATACTAAGGTTCAAACCCATAGACTAAAGAGAGAAAGAGGAAGAAGAAAAATTCAGAAGAAGAGAAGAATTCTCTGAATTTTGGTGTGATTTGCAAATGATCCAAATGGGGGTATTTATAGGTAGCAAGGTGCCTTTTTGGGTGGGTGCAACCATCAGTTATGATGGTTCGAAAAAAGGTGTAACCTTTTGAAAAAACTAAAAAAGTGGTTTTTTTTTTTTAAAATTAAAAGGTGTAACCTTTTAGAAAAACTAAAATATGGTTTTTTTTTTAATTTAAAAAGTGTAACCTTTTAGAAAAACTAAAAAGTAGTTTTTTTAATTCAAAAAAACCAACCACCCAAAAAACCCACCCATTTGTGAAACCCATTTAAATAAGCCCAGCCCAAAAATCGGCCCAATCCAAAATTCCATTTAATAAAAGGAATAATCCAGACTTTATAATTAGGCCCAAGCCCAAATCCAAGCCCAAGTTTGACTTATTTAAACTTCAATTGATTTCAACATTTTTTCCATTTAGGCTTTTCAAACACCTCACTTTGGATCTAATTTCTCATTCACCCAGAAACGGATTTGAGAAAGTAAATATACCACGTTCATCTCCTTGCGAAGAAGAACGCGTTGGTCTATAGATCCGCAAAAAATTCTTAGCGGAATCTATTCCAATTCTCATCCAAAGTTTATATTTTTTAATGACTCCGTTTCCAATAGTTTCAACATAAACATCATGAGTTCTTTGTTTTTGTTGCTTTATATGATTATAATTGGCATGGCTGTTGTGTGGTTGTTTCATGTCAATTGATGAATCCTTTCCGATCCTTTCCTTTCTCCTTCTCATTATTAATTTATGTGTTCTGTCTAAAAGGAATGACTTCGACTTTGAGACTGTCTAAAGGAAATGACTTTGACTTTGAGACGACTATAAATTACAAAAAAAAAAAAAACTTCCGTGTTCATGTTCATATTATACTAATCAATGGTGACTCACTTTTAAGTCTTCCTGATTTGTTTGCTTACATGACTTGCTTTTTCAAAAGACTACTTTAAATGCACCCATCTCATACGCAAATGCCCAACTCACATAAACGACTAGAGGGAAAATAAATAAATAAATAAATAAAATAGTGGTACACAAGAAAACATAAACATGAAAATGACTCTTTTTAAATTTTCCAACTCCCTTCCCCGATCTCCATCCGTCGTCTCCTTTTTGCCCTCTTTTTTCCAAGGAGATTTCTATCATCTTTTCAAAATTTTCACTTTCCTACTCTTCATCGACTTTTAGTTTTAATTTAAGGGTAAATTAGATTTGACAAATTCCATCATTCAACGTTTGTTAGTTTAACTTCTCTTTAGGTTTTAGCGCGTGTGCTCAATAACGCCCCTATCATTTTCTGTCAGTAAATCTATTGAGCAAGTTTTATAAAATGATAAATATTTTACGTTTTCCTAGTATGAAAAGACAATAATAATCTTATTTATTGCTATATAATGTACTATTATTGTTAGATTTTATTTTATAATTGATGAATTTTAGTGTCTAACCTGTCCGACCGAGTTGTAATTTTTGTTTTATTTTGAGTTTGAATGTCGGAAGAGGAACAATAAGTGCAACCAATATGAGTTTAACTTTGATTCGTATAAGAATATCATGTTCCAGAAGGTATGTTGGTGAGAATACTTTATTTTTTATCATTGATGAGTTTTTGAGTTTTGACACTTAGAAAATTTTCATAGTTGTATTTTTACTAAAGTGCACTACCCTTTATAAGCATGCTAGCAAGTAGGAGAGACCAAGAAACAAGCATGCCAGCAAGTTCGGTCGAAAGCAAGAGATGCATGAATTTATTTTTTATTTTTTCAATTATAATTATTATTGTTGTGCATGAATTTATTTTTATTTTTTCAATTATAATTATTATTGTTATTGTTGTGGCTGCAACTGAAAGAAGACTTTTGAAAAACAAAAGTCAAGCGAAAGAAGACAAATTAAAATTCAGTGCCCCTCGTTCCTATACGGCTCGGTCCCAGCGCTTGACTGTGGTGTGGTTTGATGGTGTCAATTGATGAACCATATTCAGTGCTTTCCCTTCTCCTTCCACCAACTAGGCCCACTATTAATTAAGTCATCCCCATTCTGTCTCAAAGAAAAATGGCTTCCATTTTGAGGCGACTTTAATTACAGCCACTGAATAGAAAAATGGCTTCTATGTTCATGACAATTCATACTATTCAATGTTGACTGACTCTAAAGTCTTCATTTTTGATTACTTGCATGACTTTAATTTTTCAGAAGATTACTTTAAATGCCGCCATCTTATGCCCCACTTTCATGGAAAGGACTCCTCTAAATTTATCATCTTTTGCTTGTAATTTATCTTCTTCTGCTTGACTTTGATTTTTAAGAGGACTACCAGTTGGAGGCTGCCAGAATATATATATATACACAATAATAATTAGGGAGAGGATATTAACATCCACTTTTTCCAATTGCATTTCACATACGGTTCACAAAAAGATCCTTTAACTCGTTAATATATCGTTCCTTATTTTATAATGTTATAACTAAATATACAATTTTAACCTTATTTTACTTTCTTTACTTCCTTTACTATGTATTTATTTATTTATTTTTCCTGGACTCTACTTTTTTTTTTTTTTTCTTTTTCAGAAGGTCCTCTTAATTTATTATATATAGATCATTTTATTTTTGATAGTCAAAAGAGATAAGTTATTTAATATTATTATTTATATATATATATATATATATATATATATATATATTACAATCTATCATTTATTCAACAAAATTAAATATTTTTTAGGTATTTTTTTAGAGAGGTAACCATTTTTATTTTTTTTATTTTTTTTTATTTTATATAATTATTTATAGATTCAGCCAAAAGAAATAATTTATTCAATAGAATTAACTTCTCTTTTTGTCTAATCAAAAGACATAATTTATTCAATAAAGATATTTTATTTTAAACTTCTTTATTTTCGTACTTTTTTTTTTTTTTTTTTTTTGGTCGTCTTGTCAAAAGAGGCAATTTATTCAACATAATATTTTTATTATTTTGGATACTTTTTTTTTATCGGGGTAAAAAAAATTTATTCTTGTCAAAATAAACTTAAAATATTAAAGATTAGAGATTAAGAGAGCAAATATGAAAGGGATTGTTGCACTTAAAAAAAAAAAAAAGAAAGTATTATTTAACTTTTTTTTTTTTTTTTTTTTTTTTTTTACAGGGCAAGAAGTTGCACTTAAAAAAAAAAGTATTATTTAACTTTTTTTTTTTTTTTTTACAGGGCAAGAAGTGTTAGAAGTTAAATTAATAAGAGTCAAAGCCTGCCACTTCAAAATCACGAAAGACACTAACCATCTACATATTATTTAGTTGTAAAGCTAGTTTTAAAATTACCATTCTTATTAAAATTGGAGTGAAAACTTAGAAAACTCTCCCTATTAATTATAAAAAATAAATAATCATGCTTCTCCCCTCCTTCCTCTGTTTCTTTGACATTACTGTCTACCAGATTTTTAGTTTTAAGTTATCCTTGTTTGTTTTCATTACTTTTGATTTTTTGGAGAACTACTTAGCATACTTTATATGTATAAACTTAGAAGATCTAGCTGTCCCATGCACATCTTTAGAAGATCTATCTGTCCCATGCACATCTTTAATAAATCAGTTTGGTTCTCTCCGGAAACTGTACCTTCCAAATCAAAATAAAAAGGACTATCCGTGTGGTCCTTTAATAATTTAGTTACATGTCAATTACGTTTCTCTCATGCTTTAAACATCTTTATTCATATTTACCCCCACGAACAAGTTATTCCAACTCATTCTCAGATTAATTTGTATTTTTCATTAAAAAGGGTAATGTACTTAATGAGGTCCGTTGGTGATGTCGATCTGAACTATTAGGAAAGCATATTTCAAGCTTCAACTCAACTCGTTCAACAAGTTTACCCAATTTCAAGGCTAAGCTGAAGCTCAACTAGAGCTCCAGATCGATAAAAACTGACTACGCAATATATTGATTATAATTTATAAATCAAATGAGGCAAGTTAGCAAGTCTTGACTAGTTGTTTCACAACCATTTTCGCTAGTCTAACCAAACCGCGTTGTGGCCAGATTTTTAAGGTTTGATACCATAATTAAGATCTTTCTTCTAACAACATTAAATTAAACATTGCAAGCCATGGAAACTGAAGCAAGAAAGAAAAAGAAAAAGAAAAAGAAAAAGAAGAATTATTAAAGATCCCCTGGATTGTTAATTACAAAAATACCGTACTTATTGATGAGTAAAATATATTGTGCACCTAACATTAACCAGCAAGAAAGAAAGAAAAAAAAAATGTGCTCTTAATTTCATTCTGAAATAACTGCCAACTCTCTATTGAAAGCTCTTGCAGGCCTGATTGAACTTGTGTTCGTTTCTGTTGTTGAAGCAAAAGGATTTGGTGGCATGGTAAGGTTGTTTCCTTCTTTTTCCAGCATTTGAACCACAACTTTCATGGAAGGCCGATCAACAGGGTACCACTGAATGCACCGAAGCCCAACAATAGCTAGTTTCTCTGCTACCTTAGTGTGTTCCTCTTTCTCAATGCTGATCATACCTAACTCTTCTCCTTGATGTAAATGGTTATAAATCCATTCTGGGAAGTATGTTTGGCTAGTGTTCTCTACTATAACATCGATATTTTTCCTCCCACCAACCATTTCAAGCAACAACATTCCAAAGCTATATACATCTGATTTATACGACACATTCCCGAAATTCCTAGAAAAGACTTCTGGGGCAATGTACCCCATGGTACCTCTTGCAGCAGTCATAGAGACAACACTTTGTTCCTTGGAACACAACTTTGCTAGGCCAAAATCAGAGACCTTTGGATTGAAATTGTGGTCCAACAATATATTATGAGGTTTAATATCAAAATGAAGGATTCTTTGATCACACCCTTGATGAAGATATTCAATTCCTTTGGCTATGCCCAAAGCGATATCTTGGAGCTTCTCCCAACCGAGGAAATGGTACTTGTGATCTTCTGAAAAGATGAACTTTTCTAAAGAATCATTTGGGCAAAACTCGTAAACAAGAGCTCGTCTAGATCCATCAGCATAGAATCCGACCAAGCGAACCACATTCACATGGTGGATTCTGCCCATTGTTCCCACTTCATTGATGAACTCTTCTCCATTTCCTATTGAATCCTTGAGGACCTTAACAGCTACAAAAATCTCATTGGAAAGTTTTCCTTTGAAAACTGTCCCATAACCGCCTTCCCCGAGTTTATCCTTGAATTGATTTGTGATCTTTTTGATATCGGCATAAGAGTATCTTGAGGGCTGGAGTGCTCTGTAGTCATCCAAAAACTTTTCAATCTTTACTTCATCTTCTTTCAACATTTTGTTTGAGCTATAGACACGATAGAGCACAAGAAGTACTAGAGCAAGAATTAAGAGAAGTGAGATCACGGTAGCTGCAATAAAACAAACAAAGTCAACCAAAAAACAGAAAAATCAAAAAACCCTTTTCTAGTCCCTGATAGTAACAAACTAACGAAAGGTGATCAATAGACAACTTTACCTGTCACAACTAGTTTTCTTGATGGACCTGTAAATTAGGATCCAAGTATTAGTTTGCCATATATGCTTATGATATAAGAACATACTAGTCTGTATATATATATATATACATACTAGTCTGTAATTTTCCTAATGACGTTATGATAAAGAGATGTACCTTCAGTTGTTTTAGGCATGTGATCATCATGTCCCGCGGAATGATTCTTGCTTTGTGGTTCGCATATCCGAGAATTTGGTTCCCGCCAATATAATACAAGATCATTACACTCCTTAAAGAAAATTATCCGATAAGGAAGTGATAAAGTGAAGTTGCGAATCTTTGTGCAGGAAGTCAGGGAATAAAGTTGCCCGGAAGGGACAACATAAATTTGATATTCCGGAACAGTACTAAGGCAAGGGATGAAGTATTCTAAAAATCTATCTGGTTCAGAAGTACAATTGTACAAAGCATAGTCAACCATGGTGTTTCCATAATCATATTGAGTAAAGTTAAAAGAACAGGCAAAACCATAATCATATGGAGTAAAGTTAAAAGAAGAGGCAGATAAAGTGAGGTTTATAAGCTGTCTGGGAAGGCAGCCTTCCCCGTCATACAGCTGAATGGATTGAGATGTGTAATTAATCTCCTTGACAAGCAGATGTACTGAATTTGGGAGCTCCAGCACGGTTTGATTTCTCTTGTCGCACGTTAGCTCAAACTCGGGATAGCGGCGGGGCAGGGACACCGTCTGGCTGCCGTTTTTAAGCCAGAAAGGGAAACGGATGGGCGGACCCTTCTCCATATACCTCGAAACCTTGCACTCATCGTGGCCTTCTCCTTGCCTTGCAAATAATATCAGAAACAACAAGAGCAAGGCAAATTTGGCCATTTCAAAGTAACCACCTAGTCTCCGCTGCCCCTCTCTATCTAAACTGTTTTTGATGGGTATTCGCTCTCTCTATCTAAACTGTTTTTGATGGGTACGGTATGTCGGACTTGTGAGCGAGGTAGTGTACACTAAGAAACTAATCTTTTTAATTTGTTAAAAAAAAATTGTAGGTCTGTTTACATCTTAAATATCTTCACCTCTCTGTACAAACAAGTTTGGTTCAATAACGGGCCTCAAGGGTAATTAGGTCTTTTTATGAAAACGTATCAGATGGTTTAAAGTCTTAATTTTGTGTTTAAAGTGGAGTTTATACATGTATTTGACAAGTTCCTCAGTATTTTTATTCAACATTTTGTTAGATATATATATATAGATATAGATATTCGAGCATGTGTTGTCAAACACAATTATGTTAGCACCTAGTCAAAACTCAAAAGATCGAGATGACACACACACACACACACACAGACGCAGAGACACGCGTTGCCTTTTTAAGTAATTAAACATAAGGCTTACATGTGTACAACATGCACTACGAGCACAACATGGCATAATCGATGAAACATTTGAAACCCCTTTTGCTTAATTATATGAATTGCCAAGAAAAGCTTTCCAATCAAACAAAAGAGTTACACACACACTAGTCAATATTAAAACATTTGATGGATCCGGCTCGTACTTCCTCAACATAGAAACATAGAAAACTTCGTAAACCCTATTCTGATGTCGCGGTAACGCCAAACAATAAACAACCTCACCAACACAATCTAAAATCTCAAGTGGTCCAATGAACCTAGGAGATAACTTGCCACACTATCGAAATCTCATCAGCCCCTTGCGTGGAGAAATCTTAAGAAATACATAGTCTCCTACCTCAACTTGATCTTCTCTGTAGTCTCAATAACAATATCGGGACCTAAGGTGATCGTATCACCCACCTCAGTCCAACAAACTAGACATCGATCTGCAAGGTCTGCAATACAACGCCTCAAAAGGTACCATCCCAATACTGGCGTGATAACTGTTGTTGTATGCAAACTCAACCAAGGACAAGTAGTCCTCCTAACTACCCCCAAAATCCAAGATGCAAGCCCGTGGCATATCCTCTAATATCTATTTGGTTCGCTCCGACTGACCATCAGTCTGAGGATGGAATGTCGTGCTGAAATAAAGCCCCATGTCAAGAACCTCCTGAAAACCCTACCAAAAGTGAGATGTGAACCGAAGATCCCTATCCAAAACAATGGATACCGGAAGCCCGTGAAGCCTGACAATATGCCTCACATTCAGTCCACTAAATGTCTCTACGTCATATATCACTGCCATAGGCAAAAAGTGATCCGTCTTAGTCAACCTGTCAACTACCCAAACGGCATCATTCCCTGCCAAGGATCTCGGAAGTTGTAATACCCCTAATTTTAAAAGGATAGTCTCAGTATTTTCTTTTATGGTTTTATTGTAATTTTAATTTCTTTATTTGTTTATTTTGGTTATTTATAATTGGTAAATTGGATAAATGTTTTATTTGTTTTAATTTGCTTTATTTGTGTTAATTTTAATTGATTAATTTGTTTAAATTGAAATTATGTAACGATATGGACTTCTAAATGTTTTACTTGTTTTATTTTGCTTTAAAGTTATAGGGTTTTATTTACATGTCTGGGATCGCCGACTTTATTTTTTTTTATTTCAGTTTTGCTATTTTCCCGTCTCCTCTTAACTAAAGTTAGGTTTTAGAGGAAGTTTATAAATACATCGTTAGTGGTCTACCAAGGGTTTTAGAACCCTATTCCCGTAACAATGGAGGTTTGAGAGAACCAGTAGGGTTTCGGCTGTAGATTCAAGGTTAGACCAAGGAGGAAGGAAGAGGTTGATTATGGGATAGAACCGTAGCAGTAGGAGGCTTGACGGTAATCAGAACTTGCCGGGAAAATCTAAGAAGACGACGTTGAGATTTTAATTCAAAATCTCAGAGGCAAGTTTTGTACCTATCTCCCTCCCTTTGACATGTGTTATTTACATGCCTAAAGCAATTCCAAGAGTAAATAAACAAAATTAATCTTTTATGCATGTTAACTTTTATTTAAAATAGTATGTGTTTAAACGAATTGGTATTTGCTTGATTTTGAGTTTGTTTGCGTAGATACTTATTTTAATTGATGTTAATTGATGCATAATGAATTTAATTATTTCTAGAACACACTGGGACTTAGTACTGACCAGTAGGGACTTTAACAATGGAGGACGGAGGATCGGGAAGTCGCCGGAAGACGCAGAGAAGGAAAACAGGAAGAGAGTCGGCTCCCTTTTGAGGGGAGGCGGCTCCCCACAAGGGGAAGCCAACTCTACAAAGCTAGGAGGCAGCTCTCTTTAAGGGAGAGCCAGCTCCACTCAAGGGGGAGGCGGCTCCACTAGTGGGGGAGACGACTCTTCCCCCTTTCTTTGGTTTTTTTTTTTTTAAGAACTTTGATTCTTATTTTGAAGTTCCAGGTTCAATTAGGAGCTATACTAGGGGTTTTCAGTGATGTCTAAGGCTATATTAAAACTCCAGTGGCATGATAATACATAATAAATCACAAGGAATTAGTATATGGAATAATATGTAATTCTTAAGTAAACTTCCATATTGATCTTGGATGTGGATGATTAAATTTGCTTACCTGTAAATTAGCAATTTGATTTATGTTTGATATGGTTTTAATCATGCCACAGTGGTAGAAAATAAGCATGTTAATTTATATATTTCAATTATGCTTATCAGGAATTAATTGATGTTTACATATTTTATCTGTATTATCAATTATTGGATTTTGCAGAGTAGTATCAAATAAGCATGTTAATTTATATATTTTCTTATGCTTATTATGGATCAGTTGATGTTTACAATTCTTATTTGTATTATCAATTGTTGGATGTATAGATTATATGCACCGGTATGGGACAGTGACATATTAGGGATCAACTAAATCAAAACGCTAAGTCTTACCTATTCTGGAATAAGGGAATGGATTATAAAATTAAATCCTACTTATATTTAAGTCAGATCAACTGAATAAGTTGAATGACTAACTGGATTATTTGCTACTTATATTTAAGTTAGATCAGCTGAACAAGTTGAATGACTAACTGGATTACTTGTTTTTTTTTTTTTAAGTCAAATCAGCTGAACAAGTTGAATAACTAACTGGATTTCTTATGCATGGATAGGATAGGATTTCTATATATATGGTTATGGTACCACGATATGAACTTGAGTCTCACGATCGATGGTTAGGGAGTGTATATGCATTGGGATGCATAACTGACTATGGTAGGTAGCGGTATACCCTGTTAGGCTTAGGTACACATGCCCACTTCTGGTGCATTTTGCATGTTGCCTCTATTCAGGTTGAGACCCCCTTTGTAGTTCAGCAAGAGTCCCTTAGTGTGGATATATATATGTACGGACTATATAGCTATTGTTGAGTTGTTTAGGATGTACATGCGTATCGGGTCTCTGTTTGGATTGTAGTAGTATAGAACTTGCTCGTGGGCCTGACCCACTATCATTTTCAGGTGTTCGTCAGTTCCGGGCTTAGAGTTGGTTCGTGCTGAGCAGAAACAGTCACTCACTCTTCCGATGACGTAAGATTTCTCTTCATGGTTTAGCTTTAGAGTTTATTTCAGTTGTTTACCTTTCTGTTTGGGATTTTAATAATGGTCCACTAGGTGGATTCCCGAGTTATGTAATTAATGGAGGTTTTGGATTATTGGTTTTTAATCATTTAATTTTAAGGATTATATTTTAGAATTCTTCTAGTGTATTTATTTATTTATTTCTTATTACTCTTTTTTATTCTGTGTTTATTTATATATTAATTGTCTGGTATCCCTCAAATCTGTGCTCGGACTTGATCGCCCGTGGCTCTAGAATCGAGGGGTATCACAGAAGCCCTGCCACGAAATCCATGGTAATGTGCTCCCATTTTCACTCTACTACCGATAATGGTTGTAACAAACCTGCTGGTCTTTAATGCTCTGCCTTCACTTGCTGACAAGTAAGGCACTTAGCCACAAATTTAGCAATATCTCGCTTCATACCTTTTCTGTGACGTTTCCAATTTTATTTGATTTGTCATTTTTCGGGCCGGACGGTTCTGTGTGGGACCCATTACCGGAATTGTGGCATACAGGGATTTTAATTGAGCCCATTTGCATCATGGTCATTTTTATTTATTTTGTTTTAAGTGATTGCAAGTTTAATTTGCATTTATAAGGGTATGTGGTGTAAAATGGAGACAAAAGAAAAAAAGAAAAGAAAAGAAAAATAGGTGGGGCCCACAAGCTTTTAGAAAATGGACCAAGACCACAATTTTGGTCTCACTCTCTTATCCTCTTTCTCTTTCTTTGTGGGTTTCTCTCGCACACCTCTCAAGCTTCTTTTTCTTTTCCTTTTTGGTTTCAATTGTAAGTTTAGATCCCTCTCTCTATATTTTGTGTTTTTATGTGTCGTTTGCGACAAATTAAAGAGCGCGTCGAGGGCTTCAAGTTGATCGAGGCCAATCTCCATTTGGCTTCCATTTGGAGGATCTCTAATTTTAGGGTTTGTGAGAGAATTTGGGGTTTTTCATCCAATTAGAGGTAGGGTCTCTAATTCACACCTTTCTTGCACTTAGTGAGTTATTCTCCTATATTTATGGCTAAGCATGCTTAATTTAAGTTGATTGCTTGTTTAAATGATTTAATTGTGCATATGACGAATGTATCTATGTGTACTTGTTGATTTACATGGAAATCATACTCAATTGTTGATTAATTATGCATATTGTGTTTGTTAAAATTACTAGATGATGTTGTGAGAAAGCATGATAATTTTGTGACGTTAAATTCCCCATTTGATAATATTGTCAAAGCATGTATATGCATTCAATGCATCGGGCATGAAAAATGGATGAAGTAGTTTTTGAAAGGAACAAAAAGGGGAATTTGGGAAAACATTTTGAGAAAATGTTTTTGAGAAAACCCGGTCGCCGCAGGGGTACCAAAGGGCCGGAGTGTTAATATAGCCTAGAAGGAACTAGGGAGATTGCCCTAGCGTGGTTAAGCTAACTGGGCCCAAAATGACACCGTGGGAGTACCAAGGGTCAAGGACACTAGCCAATCCTTCTCTTGTGTCACTGCGGGGTC